GTCCAGTGTAGGATGTAATGCTGAAGATCTGGAGACAACCCCCCGTGCCCACCAGTAGGGATCTGATAAAAGAAATTAGGATTGTTGGTAGCATGGAGTTACGGATGAAACAGGTCTCTGGGCAGACACAGGAAGATGGTCATGTTACATCATGAGGCTAAAAGGAAAAAGAGCAAGTGTACAAAAAGACCTATCTATTAGTCTTTATAAAAACTACAACAGTTGTGTATACATACATATATACACATGTAACACATACATGGATGCTTGTATATTTAAAAAGATCCTGAAGAATGCCTACCTGACTGCTAATGGTAGCCACCTCTGTGGGAAGGGGATGGTAGATTTTCATATTTTTACTCTAAATTTTCATAATTGTGTACAAATTTAATTTTTTATTAACAAAATCAGGCAGTAAGAGGCCTGCTTTTGTATTTGGTGGGCTCTTTGCTCATGCACTCTTATTTTTCATTCCTTTTGTTTCTGACATGTCCTTTCAGAGGGACAGATTGTGACATGAACGTCTCATTATCACCTGCCTACTTCCTGCAACTTCCTTACGTGCGCTTCCGACACTCACCACCTTCCTGAGATGGGTGTCTCTGGCTGAAGCTGTACCTTTCCTCATGTTTGTCTCCTGATACTTTGGGAGGTCCTGGGGTTTCTCAGGGGGCTGTCTGGAACACCATTTCCCGGCAATGGGAAGAGATTTTCAGTCACTTATGTTCAGGGAAAACTGTGTTCCTTGTATGACCTCCTGGGGTTCATCATTCACACCAGCACACGGGAGGCTGCACGGGAGTAAAGAAACCTGCTCAGCCCTGTTAATGCAGCATCTCCTAAATTTTTCTCTGGCCATGAAACGGATTTTCCAGTGACACCTGTTGCCACCTTCCTCATCTGTGCTCCACCTGGACTTTGGGAAGCACCACCCTTGCCCTGGCTCCCATCTGCACTGTCTCCTAAATCTTTGTAGCCCTGGGATTCCCCTACTGGTTCTGTGCCCACTGGAGCCTGCAGTTAGCTTCTCAGTCAGCCTAGCCTCTTCTCCTACCTCAACCCTTCAGGCAGAGACCCTGCTGCCTCTGAGGTTTGGCATTAACTTCAGGGGTCGCAGACGGAGGAGCTTGGCCAGATCTAGTCCACAGTGACCCTCGATGTGGCTCACCCAGTGTTTGCAAACACAATTTGAGTCAATATTGAGATACTGGAAGATATTTAAAAATCTAGGTTACTTATTTCATAATCCATGCATCTCTAAAAATGGGTAAAGGAAACTTTGGCAGGGAGGGAGAGCCTCCAGAAAATGGAGAGCCTCTTTCCCTGTGGAAGTCAAGAATAGTCCTCCATATTTAAAATGTAACAAAGGGAGCTGCTGTGGAGCCTTCTTGTTCTACTCATTTATGCGAGTGGTGAGGGACCTGTTGTTTCTCACCTAGAAAGTTCTTTATAAGAGCTTTCTAGTGGGTCTCTCAGCCTCCCAGTTTCTCCACCCCACAGTCTCTCCTCTGTGTGCTGTAGCTGTGTTTCTAAAACACAGACCTCATTTGGTGGTGCAGACCCGACGGCTCCTCTCTCAAGGGTCCAGTTCACAGCAGAGCATGTCCACAGCCCAGACCTGTCCATCTGCTCAGCCTCCCTGGCCAGGGAAGTCAACACCCCTGTTAAGTCAGTGAACTTGCGGGGGCCCCTGCGCCTTTGCAGCTGCAGTTCTCTGCCAGATGGCCCTCCTCCTTGTCCATCCTAACTACTTGCGTCCCCTCCTCTGAGACCTGTCAACCTTCTCCCATAGAATTACTTTCCCGGCTCTCTGCCTCTGCAGCCCTTTGCTTTATGGCAGTTCTCCCACGGAATGGTGGTTCCCTACATAGCCCTCTCTCACTAGATTAAGAACAACTAATTCCCCTTAATCTTATTTTTTTCCCCTCAGCCCCTTGATAGAGACATATTGCTGTAGGTACTGTGCAAATATTTGTGGCATGGCGATTTAATCTTCCATTTCTAGCTTTTATGACATTATTGCTTTGTGGTAGCTTCTATTTTCATGATAGGATGGGTAAATTTGGGGGGAGTGAATTGTAAATACAGATTCTTAATTCTTCCTCCTTGTAATTTTTTTCTTAAATTAAATGTGCTTTTTGTTGCTCTACCTTTGGGGTTAGACCTCACATTGGGAGCATGAGGCAACAGAATATCAAAAGACGTTAGCCAAAATGTTTAATTTAAGTATCAGCCATGAAACCTACCACCTGGTGGATAAGGGGGGCGTGGAATTCAGACTCCAAGTTTATTCCAGATGGTTGGTCCCGTTTTTTGCCTTTCTTCTGCCAGAAGGTATGCACTTGACTCCCATTAACTTGAACAGGAATTATGGATGTGCCTTCAAGGGACTTCTCATGCTGCTTTTATTTGCTGTTTAACTTTAATGGATCCCATTTGTAAAGTGTAAGAATAAAATAGGATGTACTTGAGAAAAGAGAGAGAGAGGGTTATTACATATTGTGCTTTTTTAAAATTCTGGAGTATCCTGTCAGCTCTTCTTCAATTTGTCTCCTTTGGTTGCCGGTGGAAAATAATTTTGGCTGCTTATTTTCCAAATCAGAGGCTGAAATCAAATATTAACCTATCCTGGATAAAAGTTCACTCATCATTCATTTTTGAGAGTCTATGTATGCCTTATGCAAGGTGCTAGGCATAAGAAAAACAAATTTATTGTATTGAACAGGTATTCATATGGCATTTAATGTGTTCCACACACTGTTTTAAATTGTGTCAGTTATCTTTTACTGTATCATAGAACATCCCCAAACTTAATGACTTAACCACTCTTTTCTTTGCTCATAAATCTTTGGGTGGGAAGTTGGGCTGAGCTCAGCTAGGTGGTTCTTCTGCTGGTCTCAGGATCCCTCATTCAACTGAAGTCATCTGGTGATTCATTTGGAGCTGGATGGTCTAAAATGGTTTCACATGTCTGGCAGTTGGTGCTGGTGTTGGCTGGGACACTTATCTCCAGCACACCAGCTCAGACTTGCTTAAGTGGCAGCAATATTTTAAGAGAACAAAAAGGGAAACTGTAAGGCCCCTCGAGGCCTAGGCTTAGAAGTTACAGTCACTTCTCTTCCAATCTCTTGGCCAAAGCAAGTCATAAGCCCATCCCAGATGGGAAAAGTAGAGAACTAGATTCTACCTCTATTTTAAAATTTTTAAATGGGCCACAAAAATTCTCTATAAATACTGACTTATTTAATTCTCACAACACCTTCAGGTAGGTCGAAGTAAGTTCTGTTATTATTCCCACTGTTTAGATGAGGAAGGTGAGCCATAGCAGTAACTTGCTCAAGGTCACACAGCTTGGGACAATACAGGGTGTCATAAGTCCTTCGAAAGTTGCTGCTCATTATTTTTGTCTCATAGCCGCTATTGGGACCAACTTATTATTTCTCTGCAGCTTTGCAGAGAAAGGATCATTCACATTTGCTGTGTGGCTGCCACGTGTTGGAAGCTTCATGTATATTGTACCACTGAGCTGTCACAACTAGTTTGAGATGAAGGCATTATTATTTCCAATATGCAGATGAGGAAACTGAGGCTTATGAAATAAAATACACGTCATATAAGATGATGCTAACCCACCATTCCATATGCAAGAGTCTGGTCTCCCTAGTAAATTATGAATGTTCTAGGGCAGATTTTTTTTTAATCTCCTGCTTGCATATAGAAAATACTTAAAACAATCTGTTGATTTGTTAATGACAACCTGTAAATTTCAGAAAAGTAGCTAAAATAATAAACACATTTTTCAGATGTCCAGTGGAGCCCCAAAATAGAAGCAAGATGAATATTCCATTCCGCATTGGCAGTGCCAAAGGAGATGATGCTTTAGAAAAAAGATTTCTTGATAAAGCTCTTGAGCTAAGTATGATCTCCTTGAAAGGACACAGGTGAGTACACCTCCAGTCCACGAACTCATCAGAGAATTGGCTTAGCTTTTCAAATGTGAAATGAAACAAATCTAGGAGGCTGCTTAGCTTGCAGTAGCAGTTATGTAACTTGATGGGCAAAACCAGCTGTCATGGGTAAGCCTTTCCAGTTGTTTATGGAACCCTTCACACAATTCCCCAACTCAGAGTATGGTGAACTACATCTTCCATGGAAGTTTGGTCAAAATGACCTTTAAAACCTCTTAAACTGCTTGTATGGCACAGAGGTTGCCAGCCCATCTCAGATGAGGCTGGTACCACTCCATTCTGGTGTTAGAATATCACTGTCACTCCAGCTGAACATCAGATGGAGTAGTTAATCTTGCATGCTCTGTGAAAAATAAATGTCCTCACACGTGAGAATAGCGGCACTGAGATGCTCATCTTGCCAGCACGTCATGTATGGCAGGCTCGTGATGGCTCGATGAGCAGAACTGCCATCTTCATCCAACTTGTCTTTTCTTCCCCCATCTTGTTTCTTTTCTTTGTCAAGAGTGAATAGTTTGCCTTCTTCCTTCTTCCTCCTTCTTCCTTTTTCCTCCTTCTTCCTCCTTCCTTCTTCTTTCTGCCTCCTTCCTTTTTCTTCTTCTTCTTTTATATAAAACAGAAGCTTTATTTTTCTTCTCAAAACACATCAGACCTGGAATTGGCCATTTCTCTAAGAAGCCGTGGTTCCTTTTATTGGGAAGTGGTGCAAAGAGACCACAATCTGAAGCATGGCTGCTCGATGTTTCTGGGTTGCTGACACGGACAACTACACTCATGGTGTTTTCATGAATGACAGTTTATTCTGTGTTGTAGCAGCGTTTGGCTATTTCTATTATTGAATTTTTTTGAAAAGCTGAAATGAAGAAATATGAACTTTTTTATATTGTTAAATATCTTGACAAAATAAAGATAAGTTGGTGGTTTGGCCAAAAAAACAACAACAAAAAAACAAATAGTTTGAATGAATCTAAGTTTAATGTCAGCCTGGTGAACCTTCACTGCGTGAGGGAGGATTTTCCAATGACCGAGATGTGGGAAGCTCTTTACCACCTGTTGGGGGTTTTCAGGTGGGAAGTTGGACATGATGGTCTTAAGCATTGCAACTCTTAGGAGCTGTTGGCTACAAAAAGAGTTGTTTTGGTACTAAATTAGATGCTTTTGTTCTTAATGGTCGAATCTTTGGTCACTCTAGGTCTGTGGGAGGCATCCGGGCCTCTCTGTATAATGCCGTCACAATCGAAGATGTTCAGAAGCTGGCCGCCTTCATGAAAAATTTTTTGGAGATGCATCAGCTATGAAAACATCCTAACCAGCATATACTCTGCCCTTGAACGACTGCAAAATTTAAGGCATCTTGGGAATGGCTACCAACAGTTAACAAATACGGTTATTTTTCTCAAATGAACATGCTTATTCTAGATTCTTTTTTCAGAGAACAGCAGCAAAACATCTACAGCTCTGCAAAACAAGGGAGACCTAATAGCCATCTTAATTCTGACTTGAACTGGAAGCATTTTTAAAATTTTCCTGTTGCTTTTCTAATGAATTCCAGCTTATTTTGTCTTTGCTATTGCTTTTTCTAGCTAGAGCTCAGTATTCAAATGCACCTGTGGACTTAATAATGCAAATTGCAATTAATTATTTCGGGAACTGTGGGAACACACAGCATGGAGGGTAGGTGAGGTTCTCTAGGTGCTGAATCTAGACAGTGGGGCAGGAGGTGCTCCCGGATTCGGCAGCTGTTGGTTAAGGTCAACGCTGATCTTTTGGTGAGCATTTAGGAGTAGCAGGTAAAAGGGCAGACTGCAGATCTTCCTCATAAAGAGATAAAGTGACTATATACGAGATTATATAGATCTGTTTTTAATACCATATACTTTATATTTCTAATAATATGGTTCTCAGTAATACCTGGAGAGACTTTTAGAATTTGTTAAATCCTTGACCCTCTGCATTGTAGCATTCCATTAGCAACAGGTGTGCTCCCTCCTTAGCCCTCCTGTCCTTTTTAAGCTGTTTCATGGACAAGATCTAGAAGTTCTTGATTCATTTTTACTCTTCTTTCCCTGGGTGGAAGAGAAGGTTGGTTGGATGGTTTGTTTTTTTTTTTTTGAATTATGCTGTTAAACTGAAAATCTCTGTTAAATGCCCTTATCTTTTGTTCACTTGACTGTTTCCTTTGTAGTGTTTGACCACAGTGATACTTTGGGTTCTAGATCTCTGATGGAAAGTATTTTTGCCTATTGTTTATCTGTTGTCGGTATTTTATGTTGAATATGTGAAGAACATTAAAGTCCTGAAACATCTCAGTCCTTGTTAATGAATTTCTCTATCTGCTTTTTAGACACATGATTCTCTTTTAAAATTTATGATGGGAAAACTTGATTCTAAAAGTAGCACTTAATTGGGGTAATTTAGTTCAACCAAAGGTGTAAGACTTGAGTCTTGTGCATTTATGTTTTAAAGATGATTCAATGCAGTATGGTAGATTTCCATTTGCTTTTGGAATGTACGTTATCAGCAAATCACCTTCCATCGCAGCTCAAGGTGTAAAGTTCTGTGAACTTTGTCCTATCAACCCCAGAAACACTCCACTAGAACAGTTCTGAGCTTTCTTCCTGTTTTGCTTGATTGCACAATGAGGACTCCACTGCTTTCTCATCCCGTCTCTGCACTGATTGGTTGGGTGCCCTGGTCGGTCTCAGCCTCCCAGGCTTTAAAAGGAGGACTGAAATAATTCCCTCACTTATCTCAGGGATGTTTAAGAGGTTTTTTTTTTTTTCGATTTTGATTTGTTTTTTAAACTTCAAGCCCATGTCATCAGAAAAAGATGTTCAAGAGTTTAAAACAAGGGCTCGATGCAGGATGTCAATAATAACCACAACCCTTAAGTTAATAGTGCTCAGGGTCAGCCTCCCCTCCTTCCTCACCCTTCACATGTGGTTGCACATCCCTGTCGTCTGTACCAGACCCGTGCTTCTGGAATCTCTACTTATTTTCATTCCCATTGCCAAGAAATAAGCTCTGTTGTGTCCTCCGGGGATTATTTCAGCAGCCTCATCTCTGCCCAGCCTCCCTCCCCACCACAGCTGGTTGGACGACATCTTCTCCTCATACTCCTCGTTGATGCATAAAAAAGCCCAGTCCTCTTAGCCCTGAAGCCAGAGCTTTGTAGCATCTGGCCTGGCCTCTTGCTCCTCTCCTGTGTCTGTGGTTCTTAGAGTGTGGCATGCATTTGCCCATGCTCCGATGTAAGCCTGGAGTTCCTGTCCCACTCAGTACGACCAGCCGTCATGATGCTGCCAGCCTCTTCCTGACCTTGTTTGTGTCTCTTGCATTGGGACAGTATTCTTTTTCCTTGTTCTCACTAGGGCGACCCTTTATCCCATCACAGCATCTCCATTTGGCTCTTAGCCGTGCTGGGGTGGCTGCGTGGCTGCGTTCCCCATAAAGCGGTGTAGAAGGAGCCGTGGTTCTCCACCTCCAGCACCTAGATCCTGCCTTGCCCATACGAGGTGCTCAATAATTGTCTGACTGAATGAAAAGTCTTAATGTGGGCCGCGTCGGTCTTCCTGAGTATTGCAAACTGACCTTGGAGTCAAGGGGGAGAGGTATCATCTTTCACATATGTGGATTTTTCTTTTTAATATTTTTAAAAGCTTACTAAACAATACAATTTCACTTTCTACTAGTAGCCAACTACAATTCCATCACTGAATGGGGAAATTTAAAATTTTGGAAGTTCCTCCAGAACCATCTTCATAAACCTGAAAGCTTTTGGAAAACAGTCAACAGCTGCCTAGAGACAAGGGGTAATCAATCACTGTTGTCTGGCCACATGGGGAGGTTCTGGAGCACAGATTGCTGGAAAATAATTATCAGAGCAAAAAACTTGACCTTTGTATGCCTCAAGAGAATGAGCTTATGCCAATCTGCTGACAACATGGAAAGGGGTAGAGGGGAGATAAGGGTGCAGGCTTTTGGGGCTGTGGGCAGTGGGGTCTCGAACCCGCTGGTCTTCCCTGAAGACTAAAGGCAAGGTAGATACACAGGTGTCTTTGGGGCCTTGCAGGGGCTGTGTGAGGGGCTGCTTCATGTTCCTTTGGGCCCTCTAAGTTGTACTTCTTGCCAAACTAAATTTGAAACTTTATTTTTCTCTTCTAAAATTCTTTACCACAGGTAATCATTCCAATGCCATCCAACTGAGAAAAAACAAATTTGTTCCCGTATTTCTTTCTGTTTACCTCCCCACACCGCTCTGTCTCCAGTAATACAATTCTGTTCTTTGTCTGCACAAGAAACAAAACTGTGTTCTGTCCCTAACTCCTCAATCCCCTGCTAGTCTCTGTTTATTGAAATACCTAATGCCGTCTCATCACGATTTAGCTGATGCTGGAAGGTAGGGCATGCTCTTAGGTGAACTATGTTAGGTAGCAAATAATTAGTCCCTCCTCCCCCCTTCAGAGCTGAGGGAGCCACTACGACCCGTAAAAATGAACAAGACTCATTGATATATTAGATGTTGTCCAGTTCTGCCAGAGGCATTACCAGGTCTGGCCTTGTATCACTCCATGATTAATGTTTGTTGTACCATGTTCTTTGGAAGGAAAATAAAATGAGGAAGAATTTTCTCACATTTGATGGGAATGAGCATAATTAAAAAGTGAAATGCTACTGAGTCTGCTAAGAAATCAATCACTTTAATTGGAATGAAGATTCCTAGCCTCTGTCAGTAATTGGGCTCCTGGTAATTTAAAATCGGAATCCATGACAGTTTGTGATAAATTGGCTCCTTTTGGGCTAAAGAAGGTAAGAAGTTCTAATTACCCCTGAATTATTCCAGAGTGGATGGAAAAAATCTTGATCAAAGAGATATTGGGAGAGAGAAAAGCTAGCAATGAGCAAAGGTTTATTGAATTCATTTTAAGAGTTAAAGAATAAAATTGTTTATTTGACGTGACAGAAATAAGAGCTTGTGGTATTCGAACTCCTAGAGATGTAAATTGTATTTTCTAAGAAAATAGGGACCTGGGTATATTAGCAGAAATTGGGTTATACAGAAAGCCCTGCTTACCTGTTAGTATGCACAAAAATATTGACAACCTTGGAGCCCACTTGGGGAAAAGTCTGGAATTTGAACTTTGAGTGTTTAAACGTGTAAGTAATCTGCACTAAGTTTAAGGAAGTGTAAAATGTGTTATTTAAGAAATAAGTTAATAGGAATATAGACAGGGCTCTGATTAATGAATCCACTGGCCCCATCTCTGTGGGTTTCCTAACCTTTGTTTCTGTGCGTGTTGCCGAAGAATACTGGAGGAATAGGTTGGATTTTAGGTTGGTGCACTGGGTTATAAATTTATTTTAAATTGTGTGTATTTTATATATTTGTATCTATTAAAACCTATAATATCTATATATTATATATAAATATAGATGTAATTTCAAACTTACAGAAAATGTGCAAGGTGGGTACAAAGAACTCTTGTATATGCTTCACCCAGATTCACCAATTATTAACATTTAGCTTCATTGGCTTTGGCATTTACTCATTATATATACATTTTTTTTGAACTGTTGACGGTAAGTTGGAGGTATTGTGCCCCTTTATATAGCATTTATTTCCCAGGAGCAAGGACATTCTCTTACATAACCACTGGACAGTTTTCTAAATCAGAAATTTAACATTGATACATTTAACTAATCTATAGTCCATATTCAAAATTTGCCATTTATCCCAGTAACATCATTTGCAGCTGTATTTTCTAAGTATCCAGGCCAAAGTCATGCATTGCACTTAGCTGTCATGTCTCTCGGTCTAAATATGAATCAGTTCTTCAGCCTCTTTATTCTTCATGTTACTGACAGTTTAATGAAAAGTATAGGCCAGTTGTGGTATAGAATGTCCCTCAATTTTGGTTTGTCCAAATTTGTTTCCTTATGATCATTTCAGGTTATGCGTTTCTGGCAGGGGTACCATAGTGGCAAGATTGTATTTTTCTCCATACATCCTACCAGGAGGCATCTGATGTCAGTTTGTCTTACTGGTGATATTGCCTCTGGTGTCTTGGTTAAGATGGTGTCTATGAGGTTTCTCCATTGTCAAGCTATTACTTGTCTCTTTGTAATTAATAAGTATGGAGAGGTATTTTGAGACTCTGTAAATATCCTGGTCTTCATCAAACAAATTGTCTATCAGTTCCATAAAAAGGATAATACAAGTTGAATTATTTGATGGGGAAGGTGAAGTGACTTATTGCTTATTTTCCATTAGCATTTTTACAACCCATCCCTCTTCCCCTCAAAAAAACCACAAACCTTTAAAATATATTAATATAAACAAAGGTGTGCAAAAAAGTACATGGGGAAGTCAAAAACCAGTAGCTGGGGTATAAGTATTCCAGGAGCCCTGAGAGTAACAAACATATTTTGAGAATAGAAGTAGTCTGGGCAAATGGGCTTTTTGGTGAACAAGGGAAGGAAGGAAAGAATTCCCTGATCAAAATATAGGGAATTCGACTTACAGAGTTTTCCTTCCCTGTCCAGTCAAGTTTGTTTATTTCTCAATATTTATAAAGGTACAGTCCTTTGGCCACACATACCTTTAATCGAATAGCCAGATCGTGAACCACACAACATGATTATACTTTGAAAGATGCCATATAACAACCTAAAGTAAAAGTTGCCTCTGATGACTGTAGCTCAGCAGAATGGTCCCCAAGAGAATAATAAAAGCTTGGCTTCCATCTAGCCAGGTAAAAAGCCGAAGGCATCTTAAATGCCTGAGAAATGAAATTTGAAGTTGA